GCAACTTAATAACACTTGAGGATGTAACCTGTTTATTGTATTTTCAAGTGCAACTGGGTAGGAGGTAATTTTTGTTTTCATTATTGGATTCTTTGGGAGCATGAAGCATTCAGGCTTAAGATGAGCAAGATCTCAAAAAGCAACTTTTGCCTGTCTCCTGGTTTCTGCCCCTACACCCCTGGAATATATACATTCTGATATTCTGAGTGCTAGGTTAATATTTCTTCACTTGAATATTCTCATACTTTTCTTTTAGACATTCTCTATAAACTTAACCTACGTTATTTCTAGAGAAGTTTTTGTCAAATTATTCTGGCCATTCTTAATTTTACTCTGAAAGTGTTCACCTTTATATATCATAGTTCAGATAAGAAATTAAAATTGCTATTCTCAAGTGAAAAAAAAAAATCCAACAAAGAGGATTGCCTGAAATGAAACTCGGTATACTTTCCAAAGAATTTTACAAATACCTTCCATGCAATAAGAAGCACAGGAATTCTGATGAGAACACATTTTTCAAGAATTCCTTTCCATTTTCTCTTTCACTCAGGAGGTGGCCTCTTACTGTGGCTGTTGGATGTAACCAGTGAACCGAATACTTGAAACCAATTTGCTGGTTTGAGGAGAGGTTATTGATTCTCACAGCATGTATATACTTGGAAAATTTCATTGTTTAACTCTACTTGTGGATGATTCTTGCCTCATACCACTTTAAATCAGGCAGACTGGGTGAGTTATATAGTCTCCCTTTGTTTTGTTGAAGTTGTCAGAGGAGATAAAAAATGTTTACTAGATCTGAATGTTGCCTTGAATGAAAAATACTGTACATACTTCTCAGAAAGTCTGGTCAGTTGAGAATTTTTTTTTTTTTAAGCACAAGCTTTATTTTGAGGGAGGATGTTAGGAGAGAAATTTCTGTGCATTTTGTACAGTACCAAGAAGACAATGGTGGTAATTGATAAAACACCAAATCGTGTGCATTTATATTATTTTTTACTAAATAATAAAACTTGAACTAAATAATTAATGTTCAACTCTTCGGGTGGGTTAAAGTGAACAAAAGTTCAGCACATTTGAGACCAGTGTTTCTTCTGGGTGTTGTTTAAGAATATACATTAGGTGATCAAACCACACGTTACGGAGAAAGTCTGCCATTTTGAACCCATGTGAGCAGCCTTGTTAGCAGGAGGATATGATTTATTATTCCCAATCACCATTCATAATATGATCATTATGAGCAAGTTTTCAGAGTAAATCTATGGCCACCAGAAAGTACTTTAATTTGTGATAAGGAAAGTTTCCTACTGCTTAATGGAGAGAGACGTCTCTGCCCCTTATCTGTACAGGTTTATAGTGAGAGACAGGCCCTATGGAAGTGTGAGAAGTGTTGAATTCCTGTTGTGATTATTAGTATGTGAAGTTTATGATACACATAGCCCTAACTTAATGATCTTGTGTTATTATTTTTCAACAACAGTAAAGGCACACCAGCTATACAACTAACAGAAATACATAATTAGTTCTGAAGTAGTGTACACTTTGGTGATTGGTAGTTTGGGGGACCTTCTGCCAAATTCCTTGAGGAAACCTCCAGAGAGTCACCAGTAACTTTAAGACTGAGGCAGCTTTCAAGGATACGATTCTCCCTCTTTATATTTTAGGGTCACCTCTGGATTTAACCGCCATCCCAGTCTAGATCAGGTCACTGGAACTGAAATTCTGAGTTACGGGAACCAGGGTGAGTGAGTACTATGAAGGGAGATGTAGAGTAATTTCTCTCCTTATTCAAGAGATGAAGTAAATTGAAAGGGTTAAGGAAAACACTGTGACAGAAGGATTTTTTTTTGTAATATCATATTTACTTTTATAATGCAGAATGGTATTCTTAATGTATTAACTGGTTTCCCCCCATATCTGACAGCTTCTGTTGCCACTGTCTCTTTCCCAACCACATTCAAACATAATTTGTTGTATCAGGAAAAAAGAAATTTCACAAGATAACAGGAAAAATAAAAGACATTTGATTTCCAAAAGTCAAGACTCTGACTGGGTATCGAAAGAAACACTGAGCTGAGCTGAACCAAGGCTTTCGGCCCCTGGTAGCACCTGAGATTTTCCAGGTGTGCTGGTGAGACAGTGAGGACAGGGCTAGAGTTAGGGGAAGGAAGAGGCAGTTAGATGCTGGTGAGGAGGTAGGGAAGAGGGAAGGGAAGGCAGATAGAGAGAAGGGAAGCAGAGAGAGCTCTCAGAGGGTGGTGACCCCTCTCTCCTCTGAGAAAGAGACTCTAACCCTGCTTTTCAGAGGAGAACTTGCGGATGACAGAACTGAAGATGGATTGGGGTTGCCATCACTTCCAAGCAGAGCCCAAGGAGACTACAAAACCCTAGAACAGAAAGGGTTGAGTGGTGTCCAGGGACAGATGGTTTGAGTCAGCCTCTGAGAGCTGAGTGCAACCCAACACAGTGCACAGGTGTTAGAATGAGTCTTCTGTGCTCAGAAGCACCACCAGAATAGGAATCAAGGACCCACAGAGCTTCTTGGCACCCCTGTGGTCTGGAAGTGGTGCAAAAAAAATCTCTAGTGCCAGTGAGGTGCTTAGCATCAGCTGACAGGGAGTGTGCCACACCTGAAGGAGTCTTGTGCAAAACCCACCAGGAACAGGGATATCTCAGCCAAGGTTGGCACAGAGAGGGCATCACCCAGAGAAAGAGATAATACCCCATCCCCATTGTCCTGGTACAATGTGAGCCCTCTGAAACCTAGTGAAAAGGGTGAAGGTACAGAACTGAGTGAAGCTAAGGCTCTAACAGTGAAGGTAGGCTCAACATAGATAAGTCAGAAAAAGTTTATTTTTACAGAAAAATAAAGTTAGATTTCTTGTACAATTAGCTTGGTTAGCTGAGATTTGGACCCAAAAGTAAAATCAATGTTTCACTCAATACATTTTTAAAAAATCAGGCATATCAAACAAAATGATTTAGCATCTCCTTTCTGGAATTCAGGAGAATTTTGTACATCTGAACACAGATCTTGATCATTGCTACATAGCTAGATTATGTGCAGCCTCTCAGTTTCATATGCGTAGCTAGGTCAGTGTTGCTTAAGGTCCAACTATGTGGCTGGAACTATCCTGAGAACTGTCACCATTTTCGCTTATTTAATCCTTGAACCAATATCTGTGAGAACGCATATTATTCCCATTTTTCCGATAAGTAAATCAAGACTCAGCAAAGTGAAATCTGAGGGAGGTCTGAACAATTTTCAAAGATTTGATTCCACAAATCAAAGGTTGATTCCACATTTTGGTGGATAATGCTCCATTCCTCCTTCCTTCTTCCCAACATCCCGCTTCTTTCCTTGTGTGTTTTTCACACCGTTCCTTCTTCGTGTCTTTGCTCCCACGCACCTACTTTAGATATTGTTCCTCTTCCCTGTCCTTTTGACATCCTCCCCGGTTCCAATTTCACCTGGCATAATTCCAATTTCACCTGGGCCTGGACACTTTTCCAATTCTCTCAGTTGTTATTATCCACCCTCATGCTCCCTTAGCACCTACACATTCATAGCAGCCCCTTGTCAAACCTTGCATTACAAGGTTTTGGTTACGTCCCTGTCAGCTGCTGGGTTGTAAACCCCAGAAGAGTTCTGCCTTGTGTATTCCCAACACTTGCCATGAATTTAACATCCTAGGCTGGCAGGTATTTTGGTGACTGACATAATAAAATCTTAACACATATTTGTCGAACTAAATTGAACTTAAAACTCTAAAACACACAGTTAGTGAAATATGAGACCTATGCTAGAAAGAATGCTTAATTGGCCGTGACTTTGAATTCCTCACCACTTTCCTTCTTTTTCTCTCATTTTTTTCACTTCTTTCCTCCAAACATACAAAACTTTTTTTTTTTTTTTTTTGAGTAGGAGTCTCACTCTGTTGCCCAGGCTGGAATGCAGTGGCATGTTCACAGCCACCACAACCTTGACCTGCTGGGTGAAAGAATTTCAGCGCCAGTAATGACTCCACACCCAGCCAGGATCAAGAGATTTATTTAAGGGGCTGTTACAGAGAGGATCTGTAACGAGGAAAAGAGAGAGAGAGAGTTGCAGGGAGTGGGCTGTATTTATTAGCCTGATAGGGGCCGGAAGGGGCCGTGTTATGTTTCTGTTGGAGGAACTGCATGGGAGTAGAGTGGAGCCAACGCGGTGTTATAGTCCTATTGGATGCATAACAAAGCTGGCTAAGGATTGGAAGCTTGCAGGTTTGAACTTTGCCCCGGCGGGGAATTGTGCACACAGAAGCCGGGACCTAGGGCCTTTGTTGTCTGGTGTGTCCTCACCATGCTCGGCGCCATTTTGGGAGCCACCTCTCTGGTCGCTTCCTGCACCCTTCACTGGGCTCAGGCAACCCTTCTACCTCAGCCTTCCAAGTAACTGGAACCACAGGCGTGTTGCCACCACAACCCTGGACTCAGGCAATCCTCTTGCCTCTACCTCCCAAAGTGCTGGGATTACAGGTATGAGCCACCACGCCAGGCTCATACAAAACAATTTAAATGATTGGTTTAGTAACAACCACCTAGCTTCTATAATATATCCTCTATTATATTTATGTTATTATATCTGTCCATCTAGCCATCCTTCTATCTATCCATCAAAACACATTATTTTTTCCTCACTGCCTTTCAAATATGTCCAATGTTTGAGAGACCTTTGACTTTGGGTCCAGCTCTGTGATTAACTCCTGGGTTCAGCCACTTCCTTGTTGTGTGTTCTTGGAGGTGTTGCTTAACTGGTCTATGTTTCCTCTGTGTAAAATGTAGGTAAACAATGATGCCTTCATAGTTGTGATGAGGGTGAAATGAGATAATGTATATAAAGGGCTTGGCACAAAGTGTGTCTTAAATACCTGGTAGCAAAAGAAAAAGCACAGCATGAATATTTATTTCAGCCATCAACACTGATTTTCAATAATTTGTGGTGCTGGTACTCTTGCTTCTAGCCTCTGCTTTACCCAGCAAGAAAAGAAATTCACAGAACAATCAGTCCAAAGACTCAGTCTAAGGAAGAGTTTTAGTCTCTTCTTTGGTGATGAGCAAGGTGTCCCTGGATCTAAGAATAGAGCAAGGTGTCTCTGGATCTAAGAAGTGGGCAAGAAGTCGCTGGATTTTAGAGGTGAGTTTTGGAGTAGATACTACAGTCCAAATTCCCAGACACAATGAAAAGGTCATAGAACTAGTGGTAGAATTTTTAATTATATACTTTCATCCAGACGACATGGGAGGACTTAATGCTTATCTAAAATTCAGAAGAACCTTTGACAAAAATGGAAATGATTAAGGGAGGACACCAGAGCCTTCCACAGCCATACAAACCACGTCTTGAGCCCTATGGTGAAGAGATCTGTATATTTTCTGATTATAAGCCCTCATTAGTACCACCTCCTCTAAGGCTTAGAATATTTTCAATTCATGGAACCATCTTTTTTTCTTTCTTTCTTTCTTTCTGGTTTTTTTTTTTTCCATTGGAGTCTCACTCTGTTGTCTAGGCTTGAGTGCAGTGGCCAACTCACGGCCACTCCAGAGTTGACCGCTGGGTTCTGGTGATTCTCCTGTGTCAGCCTTCCAAGTAGCCAGAATTACAGGTGCATGCTACTACGCCTGACTTTTTATTTATTTATTTATTTATTTACTTATTGTAGAGACAAGGTCTCGCCAAATTGCTCAGGCTGGTCTTGAACCCATGGGCTCAGGCAATCCACTTTGCCTCAGCTTCCCAAAGTGCTGGGATTATAGGCTGAGCCACTGAGCCTGGCCAGAACCATCTCTTAATTATGCTCCAGATTGTCTTGTCCCTGGTGGTTCTGGAAAGCTATGGTTGGAGAATGGAGGGGGAGATCACTTTCTCTGTGACCTTAGACCAGGCAGCATTTGGAACACTGGAATGAAAGAAAAGGAAAATCTCATCCTTTGTTTCCTGCCTGTGCTCTCGCCACACCCATTCCCATGCCTAGCCATCATGGTGTCCTTCCAGCTCTTAGTTGAATTATATTGAATACAGGATGGTGTGGATATCATGGTTTGAATTAAATTGAATCTCATCCCCTTGAATTGTTTTCTGCAGTACACTTAGAGTTGAAGACTCTTAATTTCAAATTTGTGTTAGTATGTGCCAATAGAGTTGTCCCAAGATGAATTAGAAAATGCCTGATGTCCTTTTCTTCACAATGGTTTGCAATTTGGAAAACATGCCACATTAATTTGTGGAACTTTTTGAAAAACGTGAATGCCTTCTTCCCCCAACTCCCAAACCTCACCCCTCACTCTGAGTCAAAGTCAGTGGGTTTTGGGTTAGCCCACTGGAAACTACATTTAAAAAAGCTCTATGAATTATTTATCTTTACAGCCCTGGCTAAGAATTACCTCTTTACCATAAAGCTGTATAGTTCTTCTTGAAACAAATCAGTGCGAGATGAGGTTTGTCTTCTTTTGAGATGCATAACCTTGGTAGACTGTTTTTTCCCTCTTTTAATTTTTTTATTTTAAAGGTTGTGGGTACAATTCAGGGTTAGGTATACAAATGTTAATTATACAGGTACACTTGTTGATGAGGTGTGTCCCCCTCTCCTGGCAGATTCCCACTACTGCCGGTCCCACCCCCGCACTGGCAGTCTCCCACTACTGTCAATCCTTTTCTTGTAGTATTATGATAATTGTTCAAGGTCTGCTTATGGGTGACAACATGTGATGCTCAGTTCTTTGTTTCTGTGATACATCACTCAGTATTATAGACTCAAAGTCCATCCAGGTTGCTGTGAAGTTTATGATGTTGTCCTTCTTTATGGTTGTATAATATTCCATTGTGTATATGTACCACATTTTTTTAATCCAGTCCTCTTTTGATGGGCAGCATGGTAGGTTCCATGTTCTTGCTACTGTGAACAATACTGCGATAAACATACATGTGCAGTTATCTTTTTCATATAAAGATTTGAGTTCTTCTGGGTATATTCCCAGTAGGGGGATTGCGGGGTTGTATGGAAGGTCAATTTTTAGATCTTTTAGGAATCGCCACACTGTTTTACACAGAGACTGTACTAGTTTACCCTACCACCAACAGTGTAGAAGTGTTCCCTTTTCACTGCATCCTCTCCAGCATCTGCTGTTTTTTGGGTTATTGATGATGGTTATCCTGACTGGAGTTAGGTGGTATCTCAGTGCAGTTTTAATTTGCATTTCTTTGATGATTAGTGAGGCTGAGCATTTTTTAATGTATCTGTTGGCAGCTTGTATGTCTTCTTTTGAGAAGTGTCTATTCATATCTTTTGCCCACTTTGTAATGGGGCTGCTTTTTTGTTTTTGTTTTTGGCATATTTGAGTTCCTTGTAGATCCTAGATATTAGACGTTTGTCAGACATACAGTTGGCAAATATTTTTTCCCAGTCTGTGGGATGTCTCCCTACTCTCTTGATGGTTTCTTTGGCTTTGCAGAAGCTTGTCAGTTTGATGGAGGTCCCACGTGTCTGTCTTATGGCATGGGCACTTGGGGTTTTGACCAGGAATTTGTTGCCAGTTCTAACTTCCATAATAGTATCTCCTGCATTTTTAAAGGTTCTTATAGTTTGAGGTTTTACATTTAGGTCTTTGATCCATTTAGAATTGATTTTTGTGTATGGGGATAGGTAAGGGTCTTGTTTTAATCTTCTGCATGTGGTCAGCCAGTTTTCCCAGCACCATTTACTGAATAGACTCTCCTTTCCCCAGTGGTTGGTAGTGGAGGCTTTGTTGAAGGTGAGTTGGCTGAGAAATTGAGGTTTTGCTTCTGGAATCTCTATTCTGTTCCATTGGTCTATATACCTGTTCTTGTTCCAATACCAGGCTGTTTTGATTATTGTAGCTTTATAATAAAGTTTAAAGTCTGGGAGTATGATACCTCTCACTTTGTTTTTGTTTTTGTTTTGCTGAGGATTGTTTTGTTATGTTATGATTCCATATGAATTCCTGTATTGTCGTTTCCAGGTCTGAGAAGAATGATGTTGGTAATTTAATGGGTATTGCATTAAATCTGTAGATTGCGTGGTAGACCTTTTCATTTTGTTTTGTTGTCTATTACTTGATGGCTATAAAATGTAAAACTAGCTGAAATAAAAGGAATACAAGTCTTTCCAAAGTACAGTAAGTTGGGCATAAAATAGAAATAAGGGCAACCCAGTAGAGCACTTGAGAAGACTCTCAGCTGAAGTGAAAAAGAGCTACTAAAAGTTATATTCCAGTCAGCTGGGAAAGACGTGCTGAGCCTATCAGGTAAAGGTATAGCCTAGAACAAGAAGGCAGACATACAAAAGGAGTACTGTATTTTGTCAATTCTAATATGTCTGTGTTTCACATTTTGACAACCCAAGCATCTGCTGGCCTGGTGCCATTGGGATGTAGTGTCATCGTCTATGAAGTACAAACTTTGTTGTTATTCATGGTGGCATAACAGGATACCTTCAATCCCTCAAAGTGTCAGTCAACAAACTATTCAAGAAAAAAAGTAAATCCTGGTTGTTGTCTGACAATCTATTGTCATCAGCTGGTGAGATTTAAAAACAAAAATAATAACACTAAAACTTTTAATTGAGTGTTAGTTGCTCTGAAGAAAATTCAAAGATAACAGTGGCATAACTAAATAAATGTTGTATTCTCAATGCTTGTGATGACACAGATACCAATATTATATAAAAATGGGAGCAAATATGCAAATTCTGAGTTCAAAAGTGACTCAGAAGAGTTGGAGTCTAAGTGTGAAGAATGGAATAGAGATTAATCGGCAGCATTTTTTCTCTACATAATGGTGCATCTTGCAAACAATGGTGTGTGTCTTACATTCAGCATAATATGCTATTTGTATTGGTCTTTACAGAGGAGAATATTGAAGAAGGTTCTCAATTTCAAGTAGTTCCCTGAAAAAATCATATGTGAAAGTATAGCTGAGGCCCAGTGAATCACAGACCCATTTGTGTTTAACTTTTATAAAGACCAGTCACCGAGATCTAAAAAACTAGAGAAGAGTCACCATGTATTTATGCAATAATAATATGTTAAAAGAAGAATGGCTGGGTTACATTAAGAAAATATTATTCCAATTTAGTGGAGTGCAATGGTTTGCACCTATAATTCCAGCACATTGGGAGGCCAAGGCAGGAGGATTTTGAGCCCAGAAGTTCAAGACCAGCCTGGGCAACCTAGTGAGACCTTGCCTCTATGGAAAAAAAAAAAAAAAAATCCAGGCATGTGTCTGTAGTCCCAGCTACTCAGGAGGCTGAGGTGGGAGGATTGCTTGAGTTCAGGAAAGGAAGGCTGTGGCAAGCTGTGATTATGCCACTGCACTCCAGCCTGGATGACCAAATGAGACCCCAAATCAAAACAACAACAACAAACAAACAAACAAATATTTTTATTTTATGAAATTTGTTAAAGAACTATGTAAACATATGAACAGGATCTGATGGGTGTACCCGGCTGGACTTTCAAAAAGTCTTTCATGGGGTCTATGCTGAGAAAAATTAGAACAGCAACAACAACAACAACAAAATTACCATTGAATTGGAATAGGAGGCAGTGTAGAGGTTTGAAGTTTAAGTATTCCAAATTTATTTTATAGATTACAACATCTAGGGTTGGAGGTCAACTTTTCATTCCCTTCCTCCTGGGATGAAGTATTCCTAAGAAGCAGTCATTGTCTCTACACTAGGACACCTTATAGTAGAATCTCTATAATCCATGAGTCCCATCCCTCTACCACATGCTATTCCTTTTTTTTTTTTTTTTGTAATTGAAAAAGGAAGAATAATTTAATACTCTTTGAAGTAAAGAAGAATTGTATATATTCTTCTTTGCTCTTCTTGAATATCTCAGAACAAGTTTTTATATAAACCTTAGACTGTTCTTCTCTAGACTGAATATCTCTTTCTTCAATGATTTATCATAATCTATTTCTTTGATGCCCTACCTTTCCTTGAGTTTCTCCTCTAATATCCTCCAGTTTCTCTACATCCTTCATAACTAGCTAACGTAAGTCTCATTTGTCCAGGAATCTTCATGTATGATATTTTCCAAGCCTAATTATCATTAGCAACCCTTTTATTCTCAAAAGTGTCTGATTAGAGCAATATCATATATGGTCAACCTCCTTACAAGTGAACTGAATGTAACATCTAAGGGGAGGCTGATTAGCAAAAGTGAGAGCAGGGGTCTCTCCATCCTACGTCCTGTTACTCTCCAAGTGCAGCCAAAAAGATGCATTAGTGACTTGAATGGGCCATATGTCACACCATTACCTCTTGTTAAGCTTGTGGCTAGATACAGTCCTCAAGATTTTTCCACATTTGATATGATGAAGCCACGTCTTCCCCCACGTAGTACTCATGCTGGTGGTTCTTTCGTGTTTGTTCCTACTAAACTTCATGATGTTAGGATTCAATCCATTGTCCGGTCTGTTGTGAACTCTGTCATCAAAAATGCTGCCTTATTCCTTCCAACTTCCATTTCCAGAAGATATAATCTTGCCTTTCTGTATCGTTATCCAAATTCTTTTTTTTTTTTTTTAACATTTATTTATTTATTTTTTAGAGTTGTGGGGTACTTGTGAGGATTTGTTACATAGGTAAGGTGCATGACGGTGAAGTTTGAACTTCTAGTGGGCCCTCTCCTCCCATAGTAGTGAACATGGTACTCAATGGGTGGTTGTGTGCCCCTTGTCCCTCCTTTCCCTCCCTCCTTTAGCAGTGCCCAACATCTGTTGTTCCCTCCTTTGTGTCCATGTGCTTAATTTTTAGTGCCCACTTATGAGTGACAACATGTGGTATGCATGTGTATGTTTATGGCAGCACTATTCTCAATAGCAAAAACATAGAATCAACCAGATACCCATCAATAGTGGACTGGAAAAGAAAATGTGGTGCATATACACAATGGAATACCACACCGCGATAAAGAAGGAAATAATCAGGTCCTTGGCAGCAACATGAATGCAGCTAGAGACCGTCATTCTAAATGAACTATCCAAATTCTTTATTTAAAATATTGTATAGAACTGTCTTCTTACACTTTGTCTCATTCCAGTTTGACTTTCATTCACATCATAGCTTTTGAATAAAAATATCTTAAGAGACCTTTGCAACTATATTTTGAAACTTCAGATTTCTAGTGTAGAATGACTTTCCCTAATCTATGCATCTAGATCCTGGACCTAATTAAATAAATTTATAAATAATGAAAGAAATTTAAAATCTAAGCTAAGTCTGATGTGATTTTTTCGTAAGTACACTTCTTTCTTAACCTGTGTGGAAATGTAATGACTGGCCCATAGCATAGGTCAGTTCTTAATGAATATTTGTTGATCCAAGTATAATTTTTCATTGAAAAATGAGCAGAAGATCTTGTTCATGACTCTTGCTGTTTGAAAAAAAAGCCCCTTTTTTTACACCTGTCAAGGACATCTGCTTTGGGAAGTCCCACAGACAGCTTAGGTCCACACCAGAGTATAAATTGACTATTTGCTAATCGTGTAAATATTATTGCTGAAATGAAAACGTGATTGAAGCTGAAAGTGTGAACCGAATACAGAAAGTGCCAACTCTTTAATGTAAACAATTAATTAGGCATCATCTTTAAGTCTGGTGATAGGTCCCAGGGTGTTAATCAAATCAAATATCACCAGCTGCTGAGAGAACAGGCTCTTTCAGGAAGCATCCCTTATACTGAGGGGGAGAGAGATGTGCCATTAAAATGGATTTTCTGAGGCTCCAATAGCTAAGGACACTTAAGGAAGAACTGAAAGAAACAATTATGTAGGCATATCCATAACAGATCAGACACATTCTGCCTTGAGTCAGCTAAAGTGGTGGGAAAAGCCTAGATTTGGATGTCAGCCAGTTCTGGGTTCAACTCCTGATTCTGCTTTTTCTAGCCTTGGGAAGTTGTGTGATCTGTTTGAGTCTTAGTTTCTTCAGCTTTAAAATGGGATGACAACACTTACCTTGTAGGGATTTGTGAGTATAAGAGACTACGTAGGCAGCATCCTGAGCCATATTCAACTTTTGGGAAGCATTCTTTATGGCAATTGCAGTGGGAGTGATGGTGGCGTTTGATAGTGATTGATTGGTCCCCACCCTGCTGGTCCCCAGATTCTGATCCTCACTGTTTGAACCCCAGATTCTGATCCTCACTCTGCTGCTGGTTTGTCCTCCTTATCCTTGAACATGTCTTTGACTTTTCAAAGCTTGCTCTTCCCTTTCTTTGAAAAGGCAGATGTGAGCTCGATGGTGCTCCAGGGCTAATTGCCCATCATTCTACAACAGGGATGAGAATTAGGGCAATTCTGTGATAACTGGAGCGAGACACAGGAAAAGCCCACTAATATGTGCAAGGGTGGCATAGTCACCAAGGATGATGTCTTATAGGGCATTCAGTTTTCCTATCCTAACCCTGTCCTCTTCCTAGGGGAGACTGGAGGTCACTTGAAGTGAGCATCATCAGTCCTTACCACCACACCTGCCTGGCTGTCATCAAGGTGAACAGGTGGCCCTAGCAAACATGCTTAAGGTAGAATATGTTTGTTCAGAACAGGAGAGATTCAGCACCATAACAAGGGCACCTTGAAGGAAAAAGTAAATTGTGAAAGGTACAGAGGGCCTGTCTTGAACTATTGGAGTGTTTAAAATAAAATTATTTACTTTTCTTTTTTAATGAAAATTAATACATGGTTGGTTTACAGAGCTATGAATAAACAGTAATTCAAAGGCTACCACCATTAACATTCTATGTATGTCCTTTCAGTCACTTATATATAAAACAAAAATGACCTCACACTATCATCAAGTCTCACAGAATACTTTTTCCAGTTATTTACCCCACCTTCCTCATCAATACTATTTGAATTTTACTGATTTCCACTCGTAGTGATACCTTGGTTATTCAGCAGAGGTCTCTAGATGGAGGAACGTACCCCTACAGTGTATGCAAAGGGATATTAGGGAGCAGGAAGAACATCTTGGAATTTATGTTTATATTTTTCCCTCTTCTTTTTAAAGTTGTGTGTGTCTGTGTATTTCGTAACATGAAAAACATGCCTGGAGGTAGAGTCTGGAGCTGGGACGGTAGCTCAAAGGAGCAAAGCTCTTTCCAATGTTCTATTCTTCTTCCCCAAAGTCCAGGCCTCCTCCTCAGGCTTGCAGTCTCACATTTCAAGACGGCTGTTACATGACTACACCTTAAGCTCATATTTCAGGTAGGAATAATGGGTGGAAATGAAGAGCAAATTGTTTGATCCTAGTAAGACTTTGCTTTTAATTCAAGAATGGATGACTTTCTTCTCATTGGTCAAATCAAGAGAAGTTGGGAAACTGAAAATTTTAGTTTTGCAAACTCTGTGGCAAAAGGACAATGGCCTAGGGAACTGTGAATTGTTTGAGGGCAGGCAGCCTTGGGGGTTTGCCACAATCCCCTCCCCAGAAAAATACACACACTTGTACACACATGTATACGCCCATCCCCAACATACTAGGCAGTTTCAGGTCTTTCTTTTTTTCCTTTGTTAGTGGGTTTCTAGAGGGAGCAACTCCATAGGCCTAAATTGAGAATGACCATTTGAATGGATGCTTTGTTCAGTCCCAGATCTGGGAGCATGGGAGGAGCAACAGTGGTGGGAGACAGAGAGAGGAGAGAGTGGAAATACATGAATGGGAATGACAGAGAAAGCCCAGTAGCCACGAGGGTTATAAGTAGTATTCATTGAAATAACCATAACAAAGAAATATAATGCAAAAAGGGGGGGGCGATAAAGCAGTACCACCAGGGAGGGAGGGGTGTAGATAATCGTTCAGGTATCTGAAGCTTGAAAGTGTACCGTCCTGATGAATCAGAAGTGAGCTCTCTGGTAGGGAAAGTGGGATGATGAAGGTGGTGGTAGAGTAGAGTATCATGAAGTGAAAAGCTGAACCAAGTCCTCTTCCCTTCTGTACAGTTACAGGACAGTCATTAGAAGTGCAAGGGGTTTCTCCAGAAGGTTTTGTAACCTAGAGATTTGAGGTCTGATAGAGAACAGTCAAGCAAGATGAGTTCAGTTCTGTAGAATACTGCAACATGGTATTAAGCTGAGGATTTCAAATAATTTCAAGTGGAATTTATCATGGAAACTTGCAATTAGTTCCCTACAGATTCCTAGGAACTGATCACAATGTTTGAGTTTATAAAAGTTGCTAGTGACATATGCAAGAGCAGCAAAATAATTAATACCATTTCCTAAACTATCCTAAAGGATCCATGACAAATATTCCCCAGTTGGAAAAATCATAGATTCCTCCAGGCATCTTTGGCTCATTGTTGATTACAGAAGCAAAAGATTTTTAAGACCAACACAGGTGTTTGAGCCATGTTTATTTTCCTCTAGGGAACTTGGTGCTATCAGAGGAGGTCATCATATTGGAAAATAAGCTTATGAAAAAGTGGAGATCATAAAGTTCAAGAAGAATTCAGTGACTTTTCCAGGGGAAGAAATACCTGATTTCCTAACACAGTTTACATCCTGAACTGTTTTATAGAAATGATGTAACTGATTAATTTTTATAAAGCATTCCAAGTGTCATACAGCAAGTTTTGAGGCTTCCAAGTGACCAAAGAGGTAAGCAACTGAAGTGAGCTTAAGCTATTTACCTGTATCTAAACTAGAGTAAAACTAAAGTAAAACTTAGTAAACTTTGAGTAAAGGATAGCAGAGTAGTTTCAAGACTTGGGTTCTAAAATCCGTTCACCTAGGATGGGATCCAGGTTGTATGATTCATTCATTGCATGATCTGGAAGCAAGTTGCTTTATTTCTCTGCTTCCTTATCCATTTAATAGGGATAGTTTTGAGGATTAAATGAGATAATCTTTCTCAACTTCATCACAGAATGTGAAACAATAAACATTCTGAACTTTGTTAGTCCTACATATTTTCTGTTTAATTTTCATACCAGTATCATGAGCTTACCTAAGGATTGGGAACCATTTTCGTTGGTAGCTCACTCTAGAAAACAGTATTAATTCTTGATAAGGGGTTTACCATCTTTTTTGCAGACATCAAAATAATGGAATATTTAAGATTATGATTACAGTGTCAGACCTTTAGGTTTAAATCCTCACTTACTGGCTCTAACAGCTTGAGAAGTTGCTTAACTTCTTTTGGGTCTTAGTGATCTTATCTGTAAAATGGGTATTCTGTGTAGTTTAAAAGAGTTAATAAATGTAAAATGCTCATATCAGAGCACATAAGAAGTGCTCAGTGCTGCTCAATCATTGACTTGCACGATTAATCAAGTATTTCCCTGAAGAGAAAATGGAGTTACGAGGTAATATTGTCAAGCATTTTAAATCTTATAAATAATTTTTATGGTACTTTAAATATTTTTTTCAAGATTAAATGTTGAAGGATAGCTATGTCAGAATTTTTTTATAGTCAAATGATAAAGATAGATTGAGGGTCTGTTTAGGTAGAGATGGTAAACACAAGGCAAACCCATACTTTACACCAGAACTGTGGCAGAAGTTATAGCACTTTTACCTACTGAGTTCATACTCAGCTTACACATTTTTCTCAACATAATACTCCAGGCAGCCATTGTCAATTTGATTGGTGTTATGTGAAATAAAACTTATTTTCCTTCCCTATTCCAATATTATGTCTTTTGAAGGGTTATTTTCCCTTGAGGATAAAGAATTTATAAGTTTTCAATTAAATCCCTCCTGTTGAAATTCCAATCAAACTCTTAAATGATACAAGATAATCATCTCTCATATCCTTGAATAAGCAGTGTGAGTTTATAAAAGGGAGAAAAAAGTTGACTGGCAGTACCCATGATCTGTTTTTGTGTGTATGTGCTTTTTTGGAAGATACTGCTAAGACAGATAACATTGACAGCTGTAGTTTCTTTAAAAGATAGATTTGCTAGAGTCTGAAGAAATCATTTGGAACGTGGCTTCTTTAGTTGTTGACTCAGTGAATAATTTTATGGAAAGACAGCCATGTTACACTGTTTATTACACCATGCAGCTGGGCATCTTTCATTTTATTTTAAGAGAAAATGCAAATGGATAAATGTGAAGATTGTTCCTGAATGTTTGCTGGTTGGTACCTCTTTAACTCTAGATTCTGTAGCGTCTTATAACTATATCATTATTACTCATATCATCATCATGTGGCCTACGTGCTTCAAGAAAGTTTACATGCTTTTTATGTACTATTTAAGACAGGGAAATATGTACTTACTATAGAAAAAGTGCTATCTCCTACAAATCAGTAAAAACAAAAACAGGTGCCTCAATTGAAAATAGGCAAAGATGTGAAGAGTTAAACTGCAGAGAAGAGAAGATATAAAAAGCTAGTAAGAATATGGAAGAGATGCTCAAACTCATTAGTAGACAGAAAAATGCAAAATAAATCAACAATGAGATGTCCATTTACATACATTACATTGACAATAATTAGGAAGCTGAATAATGCCAAGTGTTAGCGGGATGTGTGAACATGGGAACACTTATGCACAACTGGTGGGATTGTAGACTGGTATAGAAATTCTGCAGAGGACTCCAGTAGTAATAGCAAAGTAGTCTATATATACCTTCTGACCCAGCAAGCCAAATCCGTTCCTAGGTATATAGACCACAGAGGAATTCTGAGAATTCACAAGTCTCCTATGTGAACAGGATGATGAGGTGTCCTGGCTTTCCAGGAACAGTCATAGGTTATAGCTGCTGTCCTAGTGTTATTATTGCTAACACTCTTTCATTCTCAAAAATGTTCATGCTGGGTACGGAGGCTGAGTAACCATACAGCATATTCATGGTGGTAGGGAGTTGGGGGCAGTTTGGAGAGTGGAGAGGCAAAATGTGTTGGATTCATGCTTTTCAGCAGAAAGAAGTAACAGATCAGATCTTTAAAATTTTGCTGGGTGATAAAAAAAACAGGTTTACAACAATAACATCCTCATATAATTAAGGCCTATGTATACATAAAATTATATGTTTTATAAAAACACTTACTAACAAAAGGACATAGGTTGGAATGATTGCGTTGAGGAAAGAAAGATAAGTGGGAAAAAGGAAAAAAATAATAATAAAATGGGAGGTCATGGTGGAACAAAGAGGATAATGAACCACTGAAAAGTGTAATTAACTGAACTTCAGTCTCTGAAATCAAAAAGTAAGCATATCATCAAAATAGATAAAAGCAAATAATTTTGTAAGTATTCCAAATATTAAACTTTCTTGGGAAACTGGCATTTATGTATTTATTCTCTTTGAGGTTCCAAAAAGCATTTAAGGCTGCTTAAATAAGTATCTCAAGTAGAACAAAATAAATATGAAAATCTTTGAATGAGAAAGCAGAACAGAATGTATATAGAACTAAGAAAGACAAGGCAGAGCAAGTATGAGGTTAACATCTAAAATTCACACCAAAATGATGTGTAGATCTGCCAGAGATGGGTTTCTGATTTGGTGCTAAATTGTCCAGCAGGTAATACAAAGAAGGTGATGCCCTCACATATGTACATTTATCTGTAATAGCCACTACAAAACCACTCCAAGTACTAGAAAGCAGCACACGTTTCCCATTCTGAGATCAGAGAGAAATTTTTCCCTTGGGATCTTATAAGGAGGGCACTGTGTAATGAAATAGCAACCTAGAAAACTAATTTCGACAAAAAGACTCATTCCAAAGCCATCTGGAAAACCAAAATATTAATTTACTCCAACAGAGTTTGGGTTCCTTGAATTTCCATAAAATAACCAGGTTTCAATTTCATATTAGTTCAGGAAACATTCCCGGGGCTGCAATAAACCTGTGGCCCACAGATGTTGGGATCTTCCAGTTGGTTATGAACCATGGAGTCAAAAATTCCTGGTCATTATAGCAATAACTAATGAAAAAAGAAAAGGACTCTTTTTCCAGATTTCAGGAGTGCCGTTGTCTTTATGCCCCTGAGGAAGTAGGCCACAGATAAGGAAAGAATGTTTTCCTCCTTTCTTCCCGAAACAATTTCAGCAGCAATTAACTTTTTATTGACTAAAAAGCAAACATAGTCATTACTGTAGAGATCAGAGAAAGTAAATCCACTATGTGGAAACAGGTGTCACCATAAGAGTAAAGCCAACAACAAGCAATTCATAATAGAAGAGTTTAGTGGCAGGTATCTGCAGAAGGAATCCAGCCTGAGACATTATCTCCAAATGGACATGTGGGGTGTGTGTGAGCGTGAGAGAAAGAGAACCTGGTGTTCTGGTACATTCTGGTTTGGGAGCAAGGGTAGTTCATCAAGTTCTTTTGAAGTCTGATTGAAATAACCCCTGAGCACCCTCTAATTACACTTGATTTTGTATTCATCAAGTAACCCGTTACTATTAACTCAGTTTCTGAGAAAGGGAAGTGTGGTAGATTGATGACAAAATAGCTGCATTTCCCTCCTTCTATCCAGGCCCCAAGCAGTGGGACTTTGCAACTCATCCCAGCAATGGGTGGAGACTATTTCTTCACCCCCGGAACCTGGTATGGCCTTGCGATTTGTTGTGGCCAATAGACTATGGTGGAAGTGATTGCATGCTAATGCTAAATCTAGATCTCAAGAGGCCTTGAATGCTTCTTGCCCCTCACCACCCCTCTTCTCTGAACACTGCACAATCACCATGGAAACTCCATCAGGCTAACCTGTCCAATGTTGAAAAACGAGGCCCATTTACTCTTGTTACTCTACCTGATTGCCAGACAACACCAAAGATGAGTTCAAGGTCTTAGACCAACCATCCTGTAGCCCAACCACAAACTTACCACAAGAACCTGAGTGAGCCCGGGAGAGGTCAATTGAGCCTGGCCCAGATCAGCAGAACTTTTCAGTTGACTTTAGACATGTGAGAAAAAACAAATTCTTTCTTGCCTTAAGTCTCTGAGTTTCAGCATGGTTGTTATTCGCAATAGCTCACTTCTATAGAAGGGTATTCTGATATGAGTATCATGACTAATAGAAAATTTTGTCCACTATTATTATAAATAAAAATACAAATAAAATATTATAAATTAAAACATAAACAGCAGCTTTGGCATTTTAGTTTGTGTTTTAAGATCTTATAAGCCAGTTAGCATGGGAGTTCCTGAGAACTTGTGTTGTTCTGAGAAGGTGGACAAAGCTGAATTTTTGGACTTACAAGCTGGAGGATCAAACCCCAGACAAATAACTTTCAAAAAATACTCTCACCTGGGGTCCCTAGCATGGGTGTAAGGGGAAAGCTATCAGGCTCTTGTGTGAGTAAAGTGTCTTAAAAGTTAAGCCACTAAGTCCTCATTTCCTTCTAGTATCCATGGCAAAGGGTTATTTTCTCTTAAATTATCTTTAATTACTCCTGAAATGCTTTGCACCTGCTAGCTCCTGTGAGTTGTCTAACAGCTCTCTCTTAGAGCAGTGTTTTCCACTCTGTTGGTCTGTGTCT